TACTATCTTTCCAACCCTACTAAGACTTTCTGGTTTTTATGTTTCCATTTGTTTCACGCATGCTTATAATTGCCCACTGAAAACCTTTTATGAATGGCTGCTTCAAAATTTTTGTGCAGGCAACTGGAGCGGATGACTGCAAAGGCTGGGTCACACACTCCACACTTGGTTTTGTTTTGTTTTGTTTTTTCTTTTTGGGTCACACCCAGCAATGCACAGGGGTCACTCCTGGCTCTGTGCTCAGGAATTACCCCTGGCAGTGCTCAGGGGACCATATGAGATGCTGGGAATAGAACCCTGGTCGGTCGCGTGCAAGGCAAACGCCCTACCCACTGTGCTATCCCTCCAGCCACACACACTCCACACTTGGGAGCCCCAGGTGAGATTCCTCACTCTGCACAATCAGGTCACACAGCATTGGGCAGAAACCACTGGCATTGAACCCAGAACCCTTCCCCTCAGAACTGCCAGGGGAGGTCCCTAGATAAATTGTAAAGACAGGAGAAACAGAATCTTTTTCAGTGCTGACTAACCTATCATCTTGGTATTGGCAGATACTGTCTTTTCTCACTTAAGCTGAAAATTCCTGGCTCCTGAAATAACGTGAACATTTTATTAAAACATGGCCACTGGGGGTAGTGTTTTATAAACCTGAGATCTAATTTTTTTCTTTTTCTTTTATTTGGGGGGTTACATCCGGTGATGCACAGGGGTTACTCCTGGCTCGTGCACTCAGGAATTACTACTGATGGTGCTTGGGAGAACCATGTGGGAGGCTGGGAATCAAAATTGGGTCGTCCACATGCAAGGCAAACACCCTACTGGCTGTGCTATCGCTCAGCTTCTAAACCTGGGGTCTGATTTAAGCGAAGTTCTAGCTGATTTTCTCTGACCCTGCTACAACAGAAGTAGGGGTGATAGTACCTGTAACTTTCAGGTGGGGGATAGAAGCCTGTAGCCACCGTTTGGCCTCTGTTGATCCCACGATGATGAGCAGCTCCTCGTTATTGTTGGGCAGGGGTGGGACTTCTAGCTGCCCATTAACCCATCCACAATACCAGTGTGGTTGGGAAGAGGAGGAATGCCAGTTGCTGCTCCCAACTCAATTTTCAAACATTCTGCGGGAGGGGCGACCCTTTACACAGCCTAGTGACAAAAGAACTGACTCTCGGGGAGCCTCCATTGGCACCGCCGCAGGAGGGAGTGAGGAAGTCCAGGCTCCCTGACAAGGTCCCCACTGAATTCATGTGGCACCAGGAGGACCTCTATCCCAGCTCTCCATCGGTCTTGTCTGACACCTCCTGGCAGGGAAACTTGGAGTCCAAGTCATCATTTGGGGAGGGCGCTGGTCCAGACTCCCCACCTAACTGGGACTGACAGAGACGGGGCCATAGTTTGTTGTTTTGTTAATGTTGTTGTTTGTTTGATTGTTTGTTTTTAGAATACTGGCTGAGGTCTACAGAGTTTGTTTTTTCAATATGAGCTTTCAATCTTGTAGGACTTTTTTTCCTGGCCTTTTATCGAGAGTATAAGCTTTTTATTATATTAAAGCTTTTCTACTCCTGTCATTTCTACCTATTAATATTCCTGGATTACTGGCTTCTCAGCTGAATTTGAAATGTCTGTGGTAAAAAGAAAACTCCAAGCTCCCTGGTGATCATGCTTTATTTTTTGACATCTTATGTTTTGTTTTGTTTTTTAAGTTCATATTTGATTTTTTATTTTTTGTGTGTGTTAAAGTTCTAGCAGTTCTTAGATTTCTCATAATCAGTAAAACTAAAATAAACAGACAAATAAAACCAGGTCAGGGACTGGAGCAATAGCACAGTGGGTAGGGCATTTGTCTTGATGTGGCCAACTTGGGTTCGAACCCTGGAATTCCATATGGTCCCCAGAGCACCACGAGGAATAATTCCTGAGTGCAGAGCCAGGAGTAACCCCTGAACATCACCGGGTATGACCCAATCAGTCTTAAGAACTAGTATTTGACTAACCATCAAGATAAGCAAATTACTTTGAAATATATACCCTGCCTTTTATTCCTTTTATTTGGGGGGGGGGGGGAGGGGAGACACATGATTATGCTCAGTGGCTACACTTCTAATTTGATGTTCTACGGTCACTCTTGGTAGCGCTTAGGGGATCATGCCTGAGGCTGAACCAGAGTTGGCTGCATGTAATGCAAGCAGCCTAGCCACTACACTATTTCTCCAGCTCTGGAACGATTCAGTCTTAAGTAAAGTAAAAAGTAAAGGCCCTCCCGTTGATCATCGATTTGCTCGAGCGGGCCCAGTAACGTCTCCATTGGAGACTTTGTTGTTACTGTGTCTGGCATATCCAATACTCTCGGTAGCTTGCCGGGCTCTCCGAGAGGGGCGGAGGAATCGAACTCGGGTTGGCCATGTTGGCTGCGTGCAAGGCAGACGCTCTACCGCTGTGCTATCGCTTCAGTCTTAAGAAAAATTATTGGTACTTTCTTTCCAAGAGCTTGAATTTCACATCTGACTATCAGGAAGACCAATGTTATACTTCCCTTTCTCAACACAATTTTTTTTCATAATGGACATCATTTCGAAGACAAACTGCGAAATTATAAAATCCTGAGGTTACAGTTAACATTTACTTTTATTATATTTAAATAACTCAATAACGTTAAAGATGATGATGAGGGCAGGAACGATAGTACTGGTGGTAGGGGTTTTTTGTCTTGCACGCAGCTGACCTCAGTTCAATCCCCGGCATCCCATATGGTCCCCCAAGCACCAACAGGAGTAATTCCTGAGTGCAGTGCCAAGAAGAACCCCTAGGCATACCTGGGTGTGACTCAAAAGCAAAAAAATAAATGAATAAACAAAAATGATGATGATAAAAATGCTAACACTGGAAATACAAATTACTAATTAATATTAGCCCAAGTACTTTATATCATTCATCTTATTAATTCTTGGGATACTCTGTTAAGGTAGGTATGACTAATAATATTAATGTGCATTTTCAGATATTGAAAATAAAGATTAACAAGTGTAAACTCAAATTTCTTAAGACACATAACTAGTTAATAGCAGGAGCTATGACTTTATATGTGAAACCTTTAATCATACAATCCTTGATACCAGGAAAAGCCTGCATCTTCCCCCTTTGGCATTCATTAACACCAAGAAAGAACCAGAGATAGTCCTTGCCTTCTGGTGGGAAAATGAATGAGAGCTCTAGTTTTCTAATCTCAGATATAAAAAAGGGAGTTTCAGGACCCATGGCTTTCCCCTCTCTCCCAAGTCTTCAAGAAAATTATACTTTATCTTTGCTGATTTTTAAATTACAAAATTACATGCTCAGATATACATCTGATGAAAATATAGATTCAAATTCCAATGTGGTTAGGAAAATAAATTGATTTGCTTACTTGATTCAAACATGCGCTGAGAGACACTTTGAAATGTGTTCTATTTGTAGAAGTGTATCAACATATTCACAGAAGCAAATGTACATGTGTACATACCCATACGATTTATAAAGTAAGACTCCACATTTATTCTCCTCAATACCTCTTTGGAATGGTTCACTGAACAGAAGAATTTCAATCTATATCAGCTACCAGATTGATATATACTTACTCTTGGGGTACATTGGGAGTAACACCCTATGCAACTGGGGTTGTTCTAAGCATGGCCTTCACGACCTTATCTATGCTTTTAATTAGGCTTTACTTCATTTACCCATTTATTTTTGGGCCACATCCAGTCACGCTTAGACTCTACTTCTGACTGGGTGCTTGGCTAATGCTCCTGGTGGTGCTTGTGGTTGTGATGGGGACCTTGTGGTTCCAAGGACTACACCTAACCCTCCTGCATGCAAATCATGCATTTCAACTCATTGAGCTATTTCTTTGGCCATATTTTGCTTCTCACATTGCCTATTTTGTTTCTCATTTTCAGTGGTAAACTGTAGATATCTTTTTTTTCCTTTTTGGGTCACACCTGGCAATGCACAGGGTTTACTCCTGGCTCTGCACTCAGGAATTACTGCTGGCGGTGCTCAGGGGATCATATGGGATATGGGATGCTGGGAATCGAATCTGGGTCGGCCGCATGCAAGGCAAATGCCCTACCCGCTGTGCTATTGCTCTAGCCCCTGTAGATATCTTTCTTAATAACAGAGTCAAAGTATAGTCTTTTTAAGAAGTAGAGAAAAAAAGAATAAGAAAAATCTTATTATCTTAACTGTTTCAATTTTATATGTTTTTATTTTTCCCCCAGAAAGGTTAGTAAGTGTTTAACTATATGGGATTTAAGTTCTATAATTCTAAAAAAATTTTATATTTATATTCTCAAAATTGATCTGTAAACCCTATGCAGTATCTGTAAAGTAGCCTAAAATGAATCACTGACCCAACTGCAAATTTATAATTATAAATCTCCTAAAATAGAACCAAAAAAAGACTGCAATATATAGATTAGTAAAAGACTTATTAACTTATTACATTAAAACCATGATCCATAAGAGAAAAATATCTGGTAGATTTCATCAAAACCTTAAAATTTTGGCTCTTCAAAAGACACAGTTTTGATAATAAAAAGAAAACCAAGACTGTGATAAAATTTTTGCAAATCACAAATATAATTAAGGAACAGTATTCAAAGTATATGAAGTCTTAAAATACAATTAAAATTAAATTGCAATCAAACTTTGAAAAATGAACAAAGGACTTAACTATTTGTAACAGTTAAAATATAGTCTTCCTATATTATGTAACATACATACATAATTCAATTGTGCAACCCTTTAGGGAAATTATCAACCTTATGTTTCCTCATATTCTTCCCACTCAGTGATTAGGATGATACAAAATTCCCTTGTACAAAGTTTGTAAAACCATGTAAGCGAATGCCATCAGTGCATCATCAATGAATTCTTTTAAGTATTTACATCTGCAGAAACAGAAAAGGAAAAGGAAAGGGGTGAAAAAGAAGAGATATGGGCAGAAACAGTAATATACTTACTCTATAAAATAGACTTCTCCATTTTCGGTATAGGCCATCTCCCAGTTTTCAGGTAGAGGACCTAAATTATCCTCTGCAGAAAGAGGTAGGTATTCAGGGAACTTCTGAGAAGGGTCCGTGATGGGAGCAGCAATGATGCTACTATTCACAGGCAACAGTGTCGTGTCGTGGAGAGTGTGCTCTTCTTGGTCACCAGAATCGGCTATTTAATAACAGGGAGAGAAGAGAAAATACTTAATTACCCATGGCCAACTCTAGGAAGGTCCCTACTATATGCGCCTATATTCCTTAAAACCACATTGTTTCATTTTTGGCAGCCAATGACTGTATACTCTGTTTTGTTTAAAGTTCTTTAAGTGGAAACTATCAAAACTATCAAAATTGTGGAAAAAATTAATTTTGCCTAAGAAGAGGAAAAAAAAACTTGCTCAAGTAATGACTTTCTCCCAATCTTGAAACTGTTAAGGAATTAGAATTATGACTCAAATCCTCAAGTCTCCTTTATTAACAAGATAATTAATATACAGACTGAAAAGTACTCCCACTCCATAGGTATCATCTCCTTTCAGGATTCTGATGACTCTGGGAGGCCAGAAGCAGAGAAGGGGGAAAGCCCATGATGAAAACTTGAGATACTTATCACTGCCCACTACGTATGAATTATTGAAAAAAAAACTAGTAGGCACGGGCAAAGATGAAAGCCTAACAAATCAGGCTAGAAAGTATGTAAAAATTCAGAATCTTCCTGGAGAGACACTACAGGTGTTAAGGCACTTGCCTTGCATGCAGCTGACCCTGATTCAATCCCCAGCACCCGATATGATCCCCTGAGAACTGCCAGGAGTAAATGCTGAGCACTGCTGGTTATGACACCCCACATCCTACATATTTTTTTTTTGGAAAACAGAAATGCTATTCCACCATTGAGTCACATCTGAGACTCTTTTTGAAAAGTGAGGATAATGTTCCTGTGAAAACCAAGACAGTTACCCTAGAACTGCACCATGTGGGAGGACTTATTTGACTTGGGTTTTAAAAGACAATTCGGAGGAGGTGAGTCTCCTTGCCTCCTCACTAACTAGAACCAGCAAACAGTGATGTCATACAAGTGTCCACAAGCAGCATTGTTGACATTCTGGCTGAATTTTTTAAGCGGTTGATGATATTAAATGTCAGTCTCCACGGGGCTTTAAAACACAGTGATCAGAGGGTGCAGTTATTTTCTCTCCCACGGTAATTCTCTGGTAGACATTTCTGATTCACGGAAAGCAGACTGAGGAATAATAAACGGCTGTTTTCAAATTTTTCTCTGATGAGTAGCTCCCAAACACACACAAGAATGAAGGTGATCCAAAAGACAGATGGAGGAAATAGCAAGTTGATTCAACACCCACCTCCTTCGATGTCACCACTATCGCAAAAGCTGCTGATGTTCTTGTTCTACCCTGTGTTTACTTCCTCTTCTGATACCACCATTCAGTCCTCCTTTGGAAACCACCCTCTCCCCCTCCTCAGCCTGTGTTTCAGGAGAGAGCGGATTCAAACCCACCCTGAGCTCATACAGACACTTCAAGCTCTGCTCTTTGCCAATCCCGAGAATCTGATCACTTTGGCTTTTGTACCTGGATCAGTCACAGGAGCCAAGGCAAATCAACAAACATCAGGAAATTCTGTTTGGTACTTAGAACTCCAACTACCAAATAAGAGATGACTTCTGGATGCTAAAAATTTATTTGTGTAAATAGATTTTCATGCTGTAGGTTTTGATAACCATCTTAATAAAGCTTGGCAAGATCTGTCTGAAAACTAAGCCTGCATAAAGGAATACAGACAAGAAACAGAAAAGTTTAATTCCTACTATTGAATCTTCGATTCCATGTATTCTGCACTCCTTTAGTTGCTTGGTGATGCCCTAAATTCCCTTTTTTGTTTAAGCCAATTGGACCAGTCTCTAAACTTTAGGGAACCTCTGCTATGCCATCTGTCGTATCCCTGCCAGTCCTAGAGTTGAACTCATCTCTAAATTCAAAAAGGTGGGTGCACTGATCCTAGTGTCCATGATGTGACACCTGAAACCACACAGACATGTTAGGGTCCACACAACTACTCTATTGAAATGTGGACATACTCTAAATGGTTGGAGGAAAACCATGAGTTTTCTTATTCTGTTTCAGAGTACCTACATACAAAGCCTGGTATCTAAATGGGAGGAACTACACCTATACCCGTCTGTCTCCTAAAATATAAGAGGGTCAAGAAAATAGAATAACAGATCATAAGCTGTATTCCCTTAGTGTAGAATTACAATTCAGATCAGCACTCAGATAATCAGGAATCTAAAGCTCAAATGTCAGCACCTACAAAATTCTAAAGACAATAGAGAAACAAGTAAATTCACTGGCATATTGGAACAGAAGTCCAGACAAGTCCTCAAGCTCAGCAAAATTCTCAAGCCTCTTCAAGAAGGATCTCAAATCAACATTCCATGCAACGGCAATGGAAATTAAGCAATCACTGGAAGAGAAATTAAATCAACACAAAAAGAATTGATTCAGAGTATGAAAGAATCCATACAAATGGAATTAAAGGAGCTGAAAAATACAATAGCAAGCCACTGCAAAAAAAATTTTGAAGACAGAAAACTCTATCAGCTAACTTGAGGACAAAATACAAGCTAGCAGGAATAATCAAGTGGCAAAAGAGAAGTAAAAGATGGGAATGCAAGCTACTTAATGGATAACAGCAAGAGGGATAATGAATACCCAAAGGAGAGAAGAAAAGAGAAAATGAAAAAATGATTGGTAAAAGAATAACTGGTAGAATATTTAAGACTTCCTGAGTCTTCGGAGGAAGGCTACTACAGCTTCAAGAGACTCAAGAGTACCAAACAAAATAGACTCAAATAACAACACCAAGAGACCCAGTCACCAAAATTACAAAAACCAGGAAGAGAGAGAGAGAGAAATAGACTACCTGAAGCATGAAAAGAGAAGTAAAAACCTTACAAAGAAAATGACATAAGAGTCAAACAGATCTCCCAGACGATATCATGCAAGCAAGAAAGAGTGGAATTGCATATTCAAAGCACTGAATTAAAATAAAATTTTTAACTTAGAGTTCACTATTCTGTGAAGCTGTCATTTAGATTTGAGAGAGATAAAACTATTCTCAAACAAGAGCTGATGACATTTCTACAGCCCTGCGTGAATTACTGAAAAGCTGCTTATAAAAAGCAAATGTCCAAATGTAAAAAATATCTTATGCTCCTCCCCACAAAAGGCAGCACAACCCTTTCTTTATATCAATAATCTCTCTGAATCTTAATGAATTAAACTCTCCTAGCAAATGAAATAAAGTTGTTGGGAAACAAAATCCATCTATTTGCTGCTTACAGAAAGCACTCTTAAATTCACAGCATACACACAGGGCTAAGGTGAAAGGATGGAAAAGCAGTCAATCCATTCAGCCGAAGGCAGACAAAAACCAAACTGGGATAGCCATACTTACATCACAACAAATAGCATTCAATCCTCAGAAAGTAATTAGAGACAAGGATGGACACTACATATTGGTTAAGGGAACAATGGATCAACAAGCATTAATCTTGTCAAAATATATGCACTAAATAAAAGGGCAGCAAAAGCTTCTGCTCACAAGCTGTAAGAAACACATGGAAGGAAACACAGCAGTGGAAGACTTCAATATCCCCACTTTTGCAAATGGACATATCAAGCAGACAGAATATCAGTAAATAGACAAAAGCCCTAAGTGAGGAGATATAAGAACATGGATTAATACTCTTCTAACATTAAGGGCCCCCTATTCCCCAAAATTCAAACATACATTCTTCTCTAGAGCACACAAAGTATTCTCCAGGATAGATCACTTACTAGGGCATAACTCAAATATACCTAAATTTACGAATATAAAAATCATGGCAAGCACCCTCTCAGACCACAATACCATGAACATAGAAATTAACCACAAAAGAAGATGGGGGAAACCACCAACACTTAGAAGTTCAACAAAACACTGTTAATACTGGATCAAGGAGGAGAACAAGGAAGAAATAAAAAGTTTCTTTGAAATGAATGAGAATGAAGAAATAGGTTATGAGAATCTACTGGTACAGTAAAAGCTGCACTGGGGGGAAATTCATAGCAATACAAGCCTACATTAGGAAAAAAGAAAAACCTCAAATCAACAACCTAAAGATGCATCTATGAAAGTGGAAGGAAAAACAACACATGAATACAAAATAATAATAAAAGGAAGGAAATAATAAAATTAGAATAGAAGCCAACTGTACAGAAGTCAAGAAAGCAATACAAAGACTCAAACCGAAATCTGGTTCTTCAATTGAACAAAAGACAGACAAACTTTTAGCTAGGCTCATGAGGAAAAAAGAGAAAATGCCTACATAAGTTGTATCAGAGACAAAAGAGGACACATTACAAAAGACCTCCAAGAAAATATTATGAAGTTATTTAACAACTTTATGCTGTTACAATGGAAAACCTAGAAGAAATGGACAGATTCTTAGAATCATGAAATCTTCCAAAAGAGCATGAGGAGGAAGTAGAAAATCAAAAAGACCTATCAGAGCAAAGAAATTGAAAAAATAATTAAGAATTTCCCCAAGAACAAACACCCTGATTCAGGTGGGTTTACCAGTGGTTCTATCAAACATTCAGAAAAGATCCACTGCTTTTACTCCTTAAGCTCTTTCCAAATGTTTTAGAAAGAGGGTTCCTTCCTAACAGCTCCTATGAAGCTAACATTACACTAATATGCAAAGCAACTAGATACACTATTAGAAAAGAAAATTTGAGACCAATTTATCTGGCAAACATCAGGCAAAATTCCTCAACAGAATCTTGGCAAATTCACAGAGGTGGGGTGGGCTGGGGAGGATGGAGGGGTGGGAGGGATACTGGGATCATTGGTGGTGGAAAATGGGCACTGGTGGAGGGATGGGTACTCAATTGTTGTATAACTGAAACCCAAGTACAAAAATTTGTAAGTCTACAACTGTACCTCATGGTGTTTCACTAATAAAAATTTTAAAAAAAGAATCTTGGCAAATCTAATTCAATAGCACATAAAAAATTATACACCATGTACAAGTGGGATTCATTTCAGGCACGCAAAGATGGTTCAACATATATAAATCAATTAACATTATATACAGCACCAATAAAA